CTGCTGCAGTTTTTCAGGAAACCCAATCTGCTATGGAATAAGTACTTGCAGTGAACATCTGCTACCTTCTAAATTGCAGTGATTTGAATCTTATCTTCCACAAGGTTCCTACGTTGATTTAAGGGAGGTGGAAGAACCCTTCCATGCACCAATCTAGCAACGAGGGAAAAATACATTTAATTTTAGAGTGGCAAGAGTGGATTTGCTAATGAAAACGTGAGAAGGACTTGGGCTGAACGTCCTGGAGTTGCATAACCTTCTCCCATGCACAGGAGCCAATGGTTTACCTGTGCTCCACCAGTTTACCCAACACTCAGGTCCGTGGAGTAAAGGGACTCTTACAGGAGCCACTACCCTTTCCTCCTGCCAGTCCAGGAAACAAAAAATCAAAACAGCGATGGTTATGTTCTCTCGTTAAATATGGTTTGTTCCTCAAGTGAGAAGAGTCCTTTCACTGAAAACATTAGCAAGCCATCTGAAGATGCTAAGGTATCTCATATCGTCTGGCAAAGATTCCAAACAGCATTCCAGTCTGGATGCAATAGCAATGCAAAAATTCATTGGTATTGCATTAGAAAGATGGAATAATGGGTTATCATTTTGATAATACAGAGTATTATCTGGTCTGTAGAATGTCTGAATTCAAGACTGGATTATAGGGCATTTCATCCTTATGAAGCTATCACCTTTCATCTTATATATCATTCACACTTCATGGCTTCAAGTCACAACATGTGATGCCAGGAAAGTGAAAGTGTCATGGAGTTTGTGATAGGTAAAATCCAGTTATTAAAAAAAAAAAAAGAAAGAAAGAAAAAAAAAATATATATAAACTACTATCTGTATTAAGAAAGAACTACTTAGTAACTGGGCATGTTTGTCTAGATAAAGACTTTTGGGTTCGGCACTTTTTTGCCTTTTTATTTCTCTCTCTCTCACACACACACTAGCTCTCTCTCTCTTGCTCTCTGCCACTGTGACTTTTGCAGCAACTATAGTGGCTAACAAACATCTGAAAGATAAAAGGTTTTTCAAAAGTCCTTCACATTTTGAGGCAAATGTTTGAAACAGAAAGCTGTAATTCTTGACATAAACTATTCCTTTCTCTCAATATATATTCAAGGTACTTGAGAGAAGCCAGTAAAATTTAAAATAGGAGACAGGTGTATTGCCATTCAAAACTTCATTTTGAACAACAAAATACATCAGATGGCATACTAGCTGAAAAAATGACAGATAAAATACAGCAAACAACTGTTTTACTTGTTACCAGAAGATTATAGTGTAAAAGAACCAGAATTTAAAATCATAAAACCTGAAAGGACTGATGCAGAAAATCATATTTAAGAGAGCTCCCGGTACAACTATCATGTCTACTTACAGGATAGATTTAGTCTGCAAAAACCTCAAAAAAAATATATTTATAACAAAAAGCATTAGAAAGCAGTGTATGATGCAGTGGACTCATAAGACAGCATCATAAGCCAATCTAATATGGAAGTCATTGGGATGATTAAGTTACACAGATATAATCATTCACACACACACAACATTTGATAGGGCACACATGAAGAAGAGCATTTCACTCCTCATGCAGTGCAACGTCTCTGTTTTGATTTTATTGTCAGTCTTTAGATATTCTGTGCTTTAAGGCATGGACTATGAAGGCAAGTGATCAAAGCTAAGGGAATCAAAGCTGTCATTTTTATTTTTAAAAACACTGTTTCCAGTGATTATCATTCTTGAAAATGCAACCTGAAAACAACCTGAAAAAAACAAAAAATGATACCCGAACACTTGTCATCTGTTATACAGTGGGCAACAAGTCTGTTGAATAATACGGCAGAATAATACATCTAATAGGTTTCTCTGTTAGTCTGCAAGTGCCTTTATGTTTGACTTGTTTTAGCTTACTGTAAGTACAGCGCAGGTTACAGGATCTTACCGTGCACTGAAGGGTTAAGCAGCCGACCTCTCCAAACGCAGACTGTTCTAGAAACAGCAGCAGTATGCCGTTTAGTAGCTGACATGAGAGGGAGAAGCAGCTTGACTTTTCTGTCATTACCAGCCAGTTGGTTTTTTTCCACAGGAGCCAAATATCAAAACATCTAAAATCCTGGCTCCGTGGAGTAAACAAACTTGTCTATTTTTTTTCTGTCTTTTCTGACAATTTTTATCAGAGCAGTTGAGTCAAAGAGGCTTCTGGTGCATAAAAGCTGCTACGGGGGGCAGCATGCCTATGCAACATGTGAATGCGCGCACACCCCCCCCCGTAAAGTAGCCACACAAACATTATTCAGATGATAGAGGTTTTTAGAGGTGGTTACAAACAGACCAAGAGAAAAAAACTGTGTTAGCATAAACTCATTTGGTAACAGCTAGGGGACCAGTTGCCAAATGTGAGTGTCTAAACTTGTCTGAATTGAAATACCTTAACACTTCCTTAAGACTCTACAAAGAATACCTGTTTGCATGCAAGATGCAAGATATTTTGGCACTGGCCCCATACACAGGTTCTGAAGAGCCGATGTCTGGACTTGGAGCCACCCATGTTGGAAAATTCTATGAAATGGCCAACCTTTCCAATCTGAAGAGTTTAAAGTCAGGCATCTAAGTAATTGCCTGCTCTTGGCAGTGAGAAGCACCTACAAGTCCTGTTCAAATCAGTTAGTTGCAGGTGCTACACTTGATCTTAGCCCAAGAGGCCAAGAAGCAATTACAGGTTTCCCTTGCTTTATGGTGTACATGTGTTCCTGGAAAATGGTGCATAACTCCAATTCGCATAAAGGGAACCCACTTTACAATGTCACACATAGGGCTATGTTCCAAGACCTCGACTGTACTGACCCCCAGGCCCACTTCTACAAGACAACATTGGTACTCACCAACAGCAGACGGTACACACAAGCACAGGGCACCATCATAACGGGGATGACAACTACAGAAACATTTGTTACAGACAATAAGTGAGGAGCACAGATGCACACAGGAGACTACATTTTGGTGCGCATCACTCCCACAATGCACCACAAAAAGCAGCTGACTGCAGGCTTCCACCACACCGATTGTGCATGAGTGAATTTACCTCGCAAATTTTTGGTATAAAAAGGGCCATCGTATAAGAGCGAATTCGCACATACAGAACCCACATAAAGCGAGGGAAACCTGTACTACAAATCCGAAAAGCAGAACACTTGTTTAGGAGCCTGACTTTAGGTCTATTGGTTTGAAATACTAGTCAGAATGGAATCAGGTGTCTATGAAAAGCCTGGTTCTAGAACAAATGTGGACATGGCCCTCTGTGTACATAAATGCGGGTGCCTTATCACCACTTATTACAGATATATCCATTTAATGAGTTTATTTACATACACTATTGTTAAGTTCCTTAACTTGGAAGAACTGTGATGCTGCAATGAAAGCCTCATATATTGCAAGTAGGATATCACAACTGTAAATCAGATAGATATGCCACATATTTTTCCTAACCTGAATTGGAGGAATTTCTGATAACTTAGAGATCAAATTTAAACACACAGCTTTATTTTTGTAAAAGAATAACCATAAAAAATTATAAATTTGAATACAATAAAAATATTAATTTTACAGATTAAATTAGCTGTCAAGAACAAATGTGGATATTTGAAGTATA